TAAACAATTTAGTTAGCCACAAGCGAAAGAGATTACCTAGTAATGGATGAGCCAAAAGCGTGTGCAACTGAATATTGAATTTAAAAACATACTGAATATAAATTTTTCAAACATACTACCTAGCGATAACCTAAAAATTATAAGGATCAATAGAAACTCAGAGCAATTGAATACTTTACAGTCAAAAGAGAAGTGAAGATAAGTATCAAACAAACGGAGATGTAGAAGTTTTTCTGACAATCACAAACTGATTACGTAATAAATATAAAAAAATCATAGAAATTTGGACCCTGAATTCTTTCTTGTCAAAAAAAATACACTTCAAAACAAACAATATAATAAACAAAGGGTTTTTTTAGAAAAGTTACAATATATAAAAAGATTAGACAACCTACTAACTTCTACTCTTTTTTGCGACTCTCTCGCCACCCATGTTTTTTCCAAATTTCATGAGATTCCAAACTTTCATGAATTGTAACTAAAAAATTTTATACAAACAAAAATTTCATATAAATAAATATTAAAAATAGTTACATATAAATAAAAATAAAAATAAAGATTGAATAAAAAAAATAGGTGTGTTGATTTTTCAAGCATAGGAAAAAGAAGACTCTATATTTGAGCCATTACAAACTGAAGCAATAAAACACTTACCGTCAAAGCAATTAGGTGTCGATAGAGAATAATCCGAAAAGTTTATTCTTGAACACACAAAGTTAAAAAGCAACCTGCCTGAATATCAATAAACGAAGGAAATAATAGTCAGTTTTTCTCTCTAACAAAGATCGCATTAACATACTTTTTTCCTTTTTACTTTTTTAATAAGAAAATAAAAAGTGGTACCATTTAATAATGGTACACAACCAATTAACAAACAGGGAACCTCATATTATTCGGAACACTTGCAGTTAAAAATAAATAATAAACTCACAAAAAAAAAAGACTCTTTGTTTTTAAGTTTTTTTTTGAAATAAACAATTTTATGAACATTGAATGTATTTAAGAAAAAACCACACTACACAAAATTAAGCAATCAACACAAACCTTTAATTTTTGAAAAACATAAATCTTGTACACACAAAAACACAATGTTGATTATTTATAATTTTTTTTTAATTTTTTATTTGTGTAACTAAATTTCTGAAAATTATATTTGGTACATAATTTTTTTCAAGGTATTCCTTCTCTCTCTCTTCTATAAATTTAACATTTTTTTAGAATCTTATTATTATCTACAAATTAATAAATACTAATCATAATAAACAAAATAAATTGAACTTATCAGCTATAACAAATAAATTTAATTTTGATTTGTGTTCAATTATTTTTCTAATTTTTATTTTTAATTTTTTTAGGAACAATCCAAATAGTTTTGTTATAATGATCATGAAAAAAATTAAATATTTATTTTTAATTTTAATATATTTTGGTGTCCTCCTTATTATCTATAATTTCTTTATTTAAAATTATATTCATACATAATTTCTCAAGATATCCTATATCTTTCTCTTTTTTTTTTTCTTTTTAATTTGTAACTTAGATTGAAGTTTATATGATGGAAAAAATTTAAAAAATAAAAAATCATAAAAATGAGTGTAAAATCCTGATCAAACAAAAAATATATCTTATATTTTTTTTGTTTTATTTGTAATTTTGTTTGAACTTTTATATGGTGGGGAAAAAGAAATCATACAAATATGAGCCTAAAATCCATATTATAATGTATACATTTCTTCTTCTTCTTCTTATTTTCTTTTTCGAATGAACATGATCAAGAAAATGAAAACGTGAATTTTCCATTGAGAAGTTATTAGTTCTAAACTGCTAATTAATAAACTACTACTATATTTCATATTTCCTATTCATAATTTCTGAAGTTCTTATATTTTTATTCGTATTTTCTTTTTAGACCAAAATTTGGAGGTTTGGATGGCCTAGGAGGAACAATTATTTTGTATTCATATTTTCTCAAGTTCTTATGTACTACCTAAAAATTAAGGAAGCAACAGGCTAATAGATCAATACCCCTATCTGAATTGGTTTATCAGAATTTTTATGATACATCATAATAAAGTAATAAAGTAATAATTTTTTTTAAAAAAATATTAAGAAACATTGAAGAAAAGAGTTTTAGTTAAATTTTTTTAACAGAGAACTAGAAGAAGAAGAAAAAACTTTACAGTATACAATCTGTATTTTACATACCA